GTTGATTTTTTTTCTCAGTTTTTATGTAAAAATTAGTCAAATTAAACAAATACCTTCATTTTTTTAAATATTTTTTTTTTATAGAAAGATCTAAATAATGGTAGCTGCGTTTGTGTTGTTATCCCAAATATTCACACTGACTATCTATATTCGTCTAAATAATTGAAATATTCCTGTATTAATGAGTTTTTTAATTAAAAAAAACAAAATAATGTTATTTAATGTTGATGTTCTAATGCAAAATAATGGTCAATGATAGCACAAATGATATATTCTCTCTTCTAGCTCTCTATTTTTTCTGTAGATATTTTTCTTGAGCCATTATTGCGGAAAAAGAAAGCAAAGACATTACAAGAAGTTGAAGTAATTGAGTCTGGTCATTCACATAAATATCTTTTTTCTTACAATGACAGCTGCTATTTATATATTGATGTTCACCGTCCATAATTTTGTTGCTGTACATCATTGCGATGTATTTTGCCCCAAATAGGAAATTTAATTTTCTTGTAAAAATATTGAATCCTACCTTTAAATGATTTTTCCTGTTTTACGACCCCATCATCGTGTTCTAAATAAAGAGGTACACCCCACCCCTTCAAAAACCAACATTCGCAGCCAAGATTCATGTCGTACCATGGCCAAGAGAGGTCGCACTCTAAAAGGGGACCGTTATTTTCGCAATTCACGCCGTCTCTCTTTCTCTCCCTCCCTTGCTATATACTGAAGGCTACGTATTTTTTTATCCCCTTTTCCCTGCCCAGTATATGGAGAATTAGAGCCCATTACTTCGTTCATATAAGTCAATCAATGGCGGGCGCCAATGGCAATTTATCTTCCATTTCTCTGCACTGAATTTGTCTGCCTGAATTTAAAATGAAATTGTAATGGTTGAAATGGAGGTAATCTTGTCAGAAAAAGCTTGGCATTAATCAGAGCACGAGACAGTTTTTCTTTTGTTTGTTTTATTCGCGAACAACCATCGTAAAAAATGCTTGACTGGTCTTATTCTGTAGTCGAGATCTTACTTCCCCGATTCCCCATTTATGTCCCTCTTTTTTCTCGGTGTTTTTGTTTTGTTTCCTGCCTTTTGGGGACTGTGAAGGATCACGTTTTCTTTGCTCAAAATAAAGTAAGACCTTAACCCCGGCTTTGTCGTATCATTGACTCAAGAAAAGCAAGAAATTAGTAAAGTCAGCTCACGACATTGCATGCAATATCCTTCCCATCACACAGACCTCATATTAAACGTATATAACCTTTCTGAATTAGACCGTTTTCTTCCCATCCGTTTTAAAATCACCTTTGGGGTGGCAAATCGATTTCTTCTGTTTTTTGTCGATACTGATTACTCATGCCTTAATTTCGTTCTTTTTTAATCCATGAAACCGTGTCCTCTTTGCGGACAAAGACCCCTTCTTCAATAATATATCAGAATGGGGCCACAAAAAGTACACGCCCCTCGAATAAAGCGATTTTTCATTATAATCCTAAAGTCATTATTGTCTTCGTTGGAATTCGGAATGACCTATTTAGACACCAAAGACTTTTTAATTTGTCCCGCAGATTTTTTGATGCCTCGACCTAGAAAAGAAGTGGATTATTAGAGGAGTAAACTTCGACTTCTAAATATTAGCGATCATGATGAGGCCGTTTAGCTTATTGTGACGAAAGGGGGTGGTTCGAAATGGCTAAACAAAATCGGATTAAAATCATCGATTTGTGATTTTAGGTGTAAAGAGGCGAGTGACAGGAAGGCGTTGCGCCTAACACATCACTTCAAAGAAGCCTGCATTAAATAATTTCAAGATATATTATAACAATAGACTATCAGATTAAATATAATATATATATATATATATATATATAAAGAAAAAAGATTTAGTATAATATAGGTGGAGTGCCGCGTGATATTTCGAATTAGAAATAAAGTGAAGATAATGAGATAACAATGCATCGTATAACGTTCGTCTTGAATAATCACCTGCCAGTGGGTAGCCCTACATTTTTAGAAAGACGTAGGGGGGGGGGGGGGGTGACGTTTATACTGATTTCTGCGTGTGGGGTTTAATTGATTTTCTTTACTTTGCCAGACAACACAATCAACACAAGACAGTTTTAGAATAGTGTCCTCTAAAGCTTATAATAGTTTTTTTTTATCATTGATAAAATGATAGAGCTACTCATGTTTCCTCAACGTGGGCGAGTTATGATTTTTGAAAAATCACTATACAAAACTGACAAAAGGATAGATTTATGTTAAGCTTCTATTTATGTCCGGTATCATCTTTTCATTAGTATAGCATTATTTTGATATAGGGCCTAATAATAATGTAAATGAAAGGGGCATCTTAATAAGCGTCATTAACAATTAATAATTAAGAAAGTGATAGTGAATGGAAGGGGGGGGGGGCAGTTACCGTTGCTACATACGAACAAGAAATGACCTTATAGAATAACAGAGAATGACGAAATGAACAAAAGAGTTAGCTTTAATTTGTAGTAAGACCGTCAATATTTTGATGTACAGAGAAAGGGAACCAACCTATTTGAATTATTGAGGCGCATACGTCATCAAAACAGAACCCCATTTGACAGGTACGAGTGATGCTTACCAGGTGGTTTACTTCTCTTATAATATATTATCATCTGTCTTTGTTTCCCCTGTTAGTTAAAGGCATCGTTTAACAATGTTAAATCTGAGATACACGGCCCTGTTACCAATCCCTGTGATATGGTGGAATATTGAAGCCCTAAAAAAAAATGCGCTTCAAAATTATCATGAAGTGCCTCAAAAATGTAAAAATCTTAGAGGGACCGGTTTTACCATACTCATTTCCCCCAAAAGACTAAAAACCGTTAGGCAAACGAAAAATGAAATTTCGATTTCCAATCATAAATATCTTGATAACCAGACAGGCGATCGGCTTGTAAAAGTCATGGGATTCCTGACTGACATGAAGGTTTATAATTATGATTGCAGCATGAGCTAAATCCGGGATTTTGTTTCAGAGTCTGACTCGGCAATGATACCGAGTCACTTTAAGTTTAAATATTACCCAGCCTATCAATTAATTTTGTAAAGGCGCGAAAAGCGACACAAGTTTTGCATGCAGACGATAACCGTTCTTATCGCAACGAAGGGTTTCTCTCATCCTAAACAATTCCAGCATCTTCACATTCCATTTTGCTTTTCCTCGCGAAAAAAATACTCAATAATCCTCCATGCCCTCTGTCTTCTAGAACCCGTCGAAGAAAGTACAAGTGACCTTTCACCAGATAATTTTTTATTCCCTCTCTCTCTTTATCTATCTGCCTCATGCTATCCGATTATTACAAGTCCTTTCTTTGAATTGCGCTATTGATTTAGCGAGACACGGATCGATCGCATTTGGGTGAAGAAAAAAAAAACGCCGAACTCACCTCCACTCTGTAGACGATAGCGCGCTCAGAATACATCCGATGACTATGTATGTATAGTTCCTCAAAACGGCTGCTTTTTCATGAAAAGGTGTTATTTGTCACAGTAATATATAGCAATCATCTATCATCGCAAAAGCAGAAGAAAATAATTGTAAAATAAATGAAACAGCGATTCTCATCACGACGCACTCTTTGAGGGTAAATTGATTTGTAGTAATGTTGAGTGGACATCGAGTGGACATCCACAAAAAAGAAATGTTGTTATTGTTGATTAAATCCACAAAAAAGAAGAGTTATTCAACCACTAATTTGTAATGGATTCCACTAGAATTTGGATTGGATCACTGGATTCAATACCAAAGGAAGTGATTTATAATATGACTCCTAAAATGTATAATTCCACTCTTTTGGCCGCATCTACTGATATCAACGCGCTTGTACATCTGAACCAATGACTGATTATTCCATTTTATTTTATCTGTTTATTCTAAGATGCGACCAATTTTGTACAAAAAAAGAGCTAAGTACTCCTAACAAAAATATAAAAAAGAGGAAAAATAAAAAGCGTCTAGACAAACGCGCGAGCAGAGCTTGTATTCGCCGCGTCCACTGGAAGACGAGGAAAAAACACACTCTCACTTCACACGGTTTAAGTCTCTTTGAAAAGGGGGTGTGTCTTTCTGTCGATTAGAGCTGTCAATCAAATGCGATGTCAAGTTCAAAGGAACCCCGCATAAGCGCATGTGCTAGTAAGGAGAGTACCGCCTCCTTCCGTCTCGCCGCCGTAAAGCCGAACAGGAAAGGTGTATGAGTTTTTCTTTCTTTCTCTCTCTCGTTCTCCCTTTCTCTCTCCCTTTTCACCTTGTATCTCTTTAAATCAGAATCTACCTTTGAATATGACAAGCTCATTTTAAAAGTAAAATTACTTTTAACCGATAGTGGAGGACTGCCTCAACACAGCAGAGATACTGTTATACCTCAATATGATTTTTGTTGGCAAATATATTATTTAAAAAAATTACTATCTGATTACGAAAGAAAAACTGAGCAAAAAGACACATTCAAAACGTCTAATTTAATAACAAATTATAATCCAAGCTGATGAACAAATATGTGGTTGTAATATTATTTGCTACAATATTTGAAATGCTCATGGAGTAATGCGATATGAAATGTGTTTGTTTTTCTTTTAATGTTAATCATATTAATGTTAGACTTGAGTTTAGTAATTCACACACAAAAATAATGGTGACCTCAGACATTGATGTGCTCATCAATTCATTCCTAAATCGACCGAAACCTACATGCCTATTTGTGTGATTCGCGGAAAAGCAAACGAGTATCATAACGTGTACAAGATTTGCTCGAAAATGGGTTGATAATAATATCCGAGTCGCCAATGTTTACCGTTTGAAAAGCATTGGGGTTTACTATATCACTAAAAAGGAATGCCAGGAATTTGATTAATATTCATGAGCTTGTGCTGTGACATCATTGGCCAGGGCGATAATTGATTGGCCCTCGTTGACCCAACTGACAGACCGAACTGTCAATCAAGGGTGCGGCAGTGCTTTGATGTTAGCCAGACTCGCACTTCGCACACTGCATGTACACAGTACAAGTGAATGGCGAAACTCAGTGGTGCGGGTGCATGTTTCGAATGGGTCTAACGCGAAAAAGTGGGGTCAACTTGGGGAGATTTTTACTGCTATTTCTTGTTGGATTTTTACTAGGAAACGATGCCACAACAGCATAGTCGTGGTGGAGAGGACGATGGACCACCGGACGAGACCAAGACTTATCATACGGAAGGAGAACAGGAGGAAAAAGCGAGCGAAAACGTGGTCGGACCTCGGGACTCTTTCGATCATTTGAACGACGTGAAGTCTAGTTTGATCGACGAGGGAGAGTCGGTATCTCAAAAAGGCTCAAGTTCGCAGGTACATGCCAATCGCTTTCGAAACAACACACCGCTATTTGAGCGGCCTAATTTGTATGTGATATATTCCACCTATGTGTGTCATCTTCGTGAATGCCTTCTAATTTTCTCAAATTGTTTTATGGTCTTTTTAACAGAGAAATAAACGACTGAGCTCAGGCTATGGCGATCATTCAAAAGAAGACCGCCACAAGAAGCTTCACTCGGTCAGTGACGGTAAGAAATGAAACCCTACATTATTTTTAATCCATACATTTACCTTAACGATGATTAAATATATATTTATTGCAAACATGACTTCATGATTAGTTGATCTTACAATATAGATACATGAAACCCCTCTAGTTGTTCGAATTTTTGAATTATTTAGCTGTTAATTCGGGTAAACAAAGTCGCCGCCGCACACGTTTGATCGGCCGCCTGTGCGAATACACATTGAAAGCGGTACGCTTTACCCTCTCGGTCGCTCGGGCTAGTGTGGGCATTGGCTCGCGCCAAAATATGCCCCCTCGATCTCGCCAAACCACGGCAATTTATTCTCCAAATCCCCTTTTTATTTTCATTTTACAGGGTCCAAACTCGACCACATTGCTCGTTTCACCCCGTACTCAAGCCTGGCCTTCATAGCGAATGCTGGTTACCCAAATGGATCAATGGTCGGAGGACCGGGGGTGAGTTACAATTTATAATCCTCGACCTTGTTACCGGGCCGTAAATCACTGCGCTGTACTGCACTGTGAAATAACGTGTGCACATAAACCCATAGAGCTAGCCCGTTGCCTTTGTAAATGCACCCCGATTGATGCGGCTTGGCCTGTGGTTAGCAGCACAGCTACAGTGCTGCAATGCCTGCCTGCACTGGGTGCTGTAGAAACGGCCTCCGGTGGGTGCAATACTGGTAACCTCTAAAGCTACACATGGGTTTTGTGTATACACAGGGTCAAAATAACCACCAGCTAGACTCAACTGTGGTTTGTAGCCAAAATAGACCTTTTCGTTGTCTCTTGGCTCATACCATTTTATTGAATCAGTTCTATGAATAATAAAATAAGATAGTGATTTTTTTTGCTCAGTCCTTATATTTTTTTTCTTTCTGTTATTAAATCAACTGTAGGATGAAAAGAATAAACTATGTTTGCTGTTGATTAAAAAAGTAGATAAGCAGCATTAAAATAATGTGGATTAAAATAAATGGTTCAGTATTTACCAGTGTTTAAAAATAAATTCCTTATTAATATGAGTGGAAGCATAAAATTTAAGAAATAAACATTCATACAGAATATCAATCCATATCTTTTGGGTATGAAGTTGATCGATAAAAGCAAACATGAGGTGAAACATTTGTTCTAAATTAAATAAAACATGCTTTTTTAAGGATTCCATCACCCTTCAATTGTGTTACAATAAAAATACTTTTGGAGAACAAACACAAGTCAAATTTGTAAAACAATAAATCATCCCCCTGAGAATTTCAATTTGATTTATAATCTTTAAAAAAAATGTATATAATCAATTAATAAAAAATTGAACCATTTTGTCCTTAATGTTCTCAATTGACTATTCCTTGAGGAGTAAATCGGTTCACATGCTTTAATTGCTTTTGTTTAAAAAATAATTGAATGAATAGAACATTCAATTATAGTATGTTTTCTAATATGCCTCATATACAATGTGATATATTCCTTTATAGAGCCATTAAAAATTGCCCTTCTTACATTAGAAAGGAACGCAGTAAAATAAAAAGTGTTGTCTTACAAGAAAAGCATTAGAAAGGAGAGTAAACATATTGTTTGAGATTTGATGGGCGTTTATACATTGCTCAGTCTGCTACCTGGTGAGAGAAGAATTTTGATTGTGTCGCCCATCTAATGCACTGAACCCATGTCAAGATGTTTTCCTAGGTTCGTTCCCACGAACAGAAAATGTGTGATGTAGATTTGGTTTCTTGATGTACCCCAAGAAAAGTTGACGCCAGTGTACCAGCGACTTCAATATATGTGTTACAGTATTTATTTTTAAAAGGGGTTGCGTATGGCACCAGGCACATACATTGTAATGTATGACTATGGTGATGGTAATGGTGCTGTGATAGGTGACCAGTCCTTTGGTCTGGCCTCTTTTTAATTTTCAAAAAAAGACTTTGGGAAATAGTTATTCAGTAAATCTTTTTCTTTCCCCCACATCCATGTAACCTAATCTTGCTGTTGTTTTGTATTCACTGTTTTCTTCAATTTATCTCTTTTGAAGTAATAATAATAATGATAATAATAACAACATCAACAACAACAACAGATTTGCAATTTGGTTTCATTGATGTTTAGGGTTAGGTTTAAGTCTAGTGTTTTTGAAGTCAAGGCTTGAAGATTTAATGTAAAATAGTAAGGAAATCGTCCGCTCAGTTATTGTCAGCTTGAACCTACACTGTATGTTTTCCGAGACTGTGGTGACCATTGTAATATTACAATCCGTGGGAATGCCCCCTCCGTTCTTCCACTCATATGGACAACACACTTGCACCACATTGCAAGAAACCCAAGCCTTGATTGACATGGACATGACCTTTGAACTAGTTTCTATTTCTGGGAATACATCAACCCCCACAAGCGCCAGATCATGTGTCTGTAAACCATATTACCACTTGCATCTTTCATGCACATGTCCATGGAAATCACATTCATATTTTTGTTGATGACTTTATCACATTCTACAAATTTTTTCCCTTTCTGCCCATTGGAGGAATTTAAAGCCGGAGCAAAAAACAACAAAACTTGTAATCCATATTGATCTCAGAAACATATAATATGCAAGAACATTGTAAATCAAGGAATTCGGTACTTTTTTTGATTTGTTATAAATTATTGAATGTCATGTATTAATATGGTCTTAGAAACCCACATAATATGCAAGCACTTCAAGAAATTGTGTACTTTAGGTTTTCAAAATTATTGAATGTCCTGTAATAATACAGGTACATTGTAGACCCCCATCTTTAAGAGTAGTTTTGATATTTTGACAACCTTCAACCCAAGCAATACACTGGTCTCAGAAAGTTTCTGGTTTAATGGCGACCCACAAAAAGTCCATTAAAAAAAAGATAGTCAATGTAAGATATCTTTTTTATATTAAACTTTGGGTACCTTTTTGAAAATGTTGTCTGCGCGGTTAAGCAGCTGGCCTTGTTGCGCAATAATGCAAGAGTGCGTACTATTTGTTTAAGATAGATCAATGTAAATATGAATGACTCCTCATGAACTTGACAGTTATGAACAATCAAAGTGTGTGATCTTGAAACAACAGTGAATCATTGTAGCGTGGAAGATGGATCATGTACCTCACAGCTACAGATTCTATTTACACAGTATTTGTAAGAAAACAAAAAAGATAAGATAGGTATTACTTTTTAGGTTATTGCCATTCTAAGCAGTTTACAACTTTTATCACAAGTCAGATTAAAAAAATGTTTCTTTTAATTTTCTGTTTCACTTGTACAATATTTAAGAATTTGAGACAAATATTTGTTTCCGATGTACAGTTTAGAGATATACTGTAGTAAGCATACTAGACAATAGCCTAGACAATATGTGTATGCTTTATAAGACATTTTCCTTCTTCTTTTATTAAGCTTATAAGATAATATGTATGTACATGTACTTCACTTGACAACATTTATCTAGAAATTGTAGTGAGTAAAATCATTACATTAATTGATGAATCATTGCATTCCAGCAATCTTAACTTATAAATAGAAAATGTTTAATATCAGTTAAAATGTAGGAATTCCATCAAAGATTTGTGACTCTTTAACAAGATTTCTTAGTGATCTTCCTTAAGTTCCTTAGATCCCAAAGACAGCTTTCTTTCAAGGTTTAATCCAAATTGATGTCTTGTCATGCAATTGAAGTCTTTGTAATCCATCTTGCTATGCTGGAAACCTCTTACCAAGTTGCGGGAATGCTCAATGTTAGGCCTATTTACATTGCAGAAAAACCAATGTAAAAGATCATCGATTAAAAAAACAACCCATTAACACTACTGGATAAAGTCTAAGGAAAAACCTATAAAATTGTTAGTGTTTGTACAATTTTTTCTTCTTTTGTTTAAGTCGTGTGCATGACCCACTTTTCACTGCTCTGCATGCACTACATGTAGCACGGAAGCAGGAAGAGTCATGTGACCAGAAACTGGAATAATTCACCGATATTCGAGCATTTACACTGCAAAAAGGAGTGGAGTCTCGGTTGGTGTTTAAAAAATCACACTCTAGAGGTGTTTTTTTTCATTTGAGCACCTTCTGAAAAAACTCCACAATGTGAGAAAACTACCGGTAATGGTTTTTGCCTGTAGTTACAATACAGCTTTGATATCCATGCTTTCTTGAGAATCCTTGTCTCTTGGGTTCGTGCTGAAGTAGTAGATCATTACAGGTAAATGCTAAAGCTATTTGTAGCAATCTTGGTTCCCTTATGTGTGACCCCTAGACTACACGCACACCTCATTCATGAGAGAGGAATGAAAGAGATAGAGGGCAACAAATCCCCTAAATGGCTCGAGCGCGACAAAAGAGCGATACCGTCACGAAGACTATCGCAACAATTTCATGCAAAGAAAAGGAGAACACACCTAGCTGATAAATGGCTTGGAGAGTATTAATGTCAGAGCATTATCTTGCGTTTTTTGCACGTAATCAGCATTAAAAATGTCCTCAGGGTCGACAAAGTGAGGCTGTACAAAAGCGAAAGGGGCAGCAACTATTCTGTTGAGACTATCTCCATTAGTATCAGGCTGCAGATTATATCCCCTGATCCCGTTTTTACTGTTATCTTACCACATTCTAAGGCAGGGGTCGTAATTTATGCACTAGTACAGCGATGACTGATTTATGTGGGCCGTGTTAAAAGAGAGTTTACAGTTAGTACATGATAATGGCAATTTATCCAACCTCCTTTTGTGAATTCATCATCTCAAAGTTTACAAGTGTAAGAATGGGAATAGAGGGATTAATTTATAAGTACATGTAGTTTTTTCTTCAGACTTGGAAACGGTTCTATTTGTATTCAAATGTACATGTAGAAGGCTACAAGCCTTATCTAGATTAATTACTTATTATTGGTCAGCACACTGATCTGTCTTTTCCAAGTTGTAGCTCAAATGGCATTCTGTCTAATTACATACATGTAGGTCATAGATTTCAATTTCCCAGTTTGTACAACCACAAATACATATTTAGGATATATATACAAATGTACATGTAAGAAAATGTAGCCATTTTTATGGTACAACTGTAGATGAAAAACAATTGTCACAGGGGTCACAAAATAGATTTGCTTACTCTTAAATCATATTGGATATAGGCCTATAGGAGAACGCAAACATTCTGAAGATTTAATTTTGAAATGCCTTGCTTTTCAATTTTTTAGTTAAGGGTAGATCTCAATAAACAATTGTGTGTCACAAGTGATCCACATTTTAAGTTGGATACAATCTCTAGGATACAAACTTTTCTGCATTCATAACTCGATGAAGATGGGTTTTTCTTGACGTGAATTGCAGAGAAAAGAAGTTTTTGCAAATGGAAGCCAATATTTCGGCCACCAACCCCCTTTTCAACCATATCTCAATGATGAAAAATAGGTTAAAAGTGAAATGGCAATATCTTGGCATTTTGATCTTCAAATACTTCAAAAATTCACATGCACA